TTTGAATACACAGATACAAAATGGACATTCATCTGTATACCCTTAGGTCTCAGGATTTCTAAGGACTCCAATGAGCTTTTTTTTTTTTTTTTTAATTTTTTAAATTTATTTGTGTGTGTGTGCTTGTGTGTGTGTGTGTGTCCAGCTCAGCCCACCAGGGGGCGGGGCTGGCTGGCATGTGGTGCTGGGGGATTGAACCGCAGTCCCTGTGCCCTGCTAAGCTTGTTCTAAGTAGGTGTTTTTTTAGACCACTGAGCCATCTCACCACCCCAATGAGCTTTTATTTATGTGGATTGTTTTTCTAGTATTAAAACTTAGAAAAATATTAATTTCATTAAAAAACAAGGATAAATCATGGTAACATAAATATCTTAATGCAAAGTAACTTTCCCAACACAAAATTTTTTTTTAGTAAGAATAGTAATATGTTCTTTAAACACAGTTATCAAAAAAAAAACATGGTTATCAACCATTTTATGGTCTGTGTTTCATAGTTTTGGTTCCTCAAGTCTGTGTATCTGTTTTCATGATTGGTTATTTCTGCTGGTTCCATTTATTGTATCTCACTTCTTATGGGCATACTTATCCTCACTCATGTTAAATATTTTATTCAAGAATCATGTGAAAGAGCTGGCCAAATAGCTCAGCGGATTAAAGTGACTGCAAGCAGGTACAGGGGCCGGGTGTTTGCTCCCCGGGCCTGCCAGGCCGGCCCCACTCCCAGGGCATGCTGAGACAGCAATTAAGACTGGGTGTGGTGGCGCACGCCTGTAATCCCAGCTCTTGGGAGCTGTAAACAGGCGGATCACTATGAGTCTGATCTAACCGTGAGACCCCGAATACCCTGTAGACCCTTACCTACAATACAAAAACAAACAAACAAACAAAAAACCATATGTGAGAACAAATACTAAAGTATAATAGTAGTTACAGTACTTTAAAATATTACCCTCAAATCCATTTTTAAAAATATAATAGTAATAACTAGAGTCAAAAAATCATGACAGCTTGTAGTATTTTAATGAAGCACATACACACACACACATACACATATATAAAATTACCTGATAGTAACTTATCTTAAAATTTATAATCTACTGGTGCCTTTGATTAGTCTTTTAGTTAACTTCAGTGTAAGGTCAAGTCTAAGCAACTCCATTCATGTGAGGACAATGAATATAAATTATAAGCAAGAAGCTTTTAAAGGGCTAGCATTGACATATAAAATACATGCTACCCAAACATTAAAATCAGAATACTAATAGTAATGATGAAAGACTGCAGCACAAGTTAGAATAGAGACGTTATATAGGAAAAATACAGCCATGTCCTTAGCTGCCAGACCCAATTACTCCTCTAAGCAGATGGGGAAAAACAAAGTACTTTGATTGTCCACTTATCCAACAATCATCACACTTTATGCATTAATGCCATGCTTTTTCATACGTGAGCGGTTAACAGACCGAATTCACACTTGTTAGAATGATGTGAATTAATGACAAAGTTTCATTAACTCTACATAGAGAACATACTAAAATGCCAATTCACAGCAGGACCCTAGTGCAGCTCTGAAATGATAAATACACTCCAGATATCAATTTAATCTTCATATGACATACTTTAGCTCAGTGCCACTTTGCAATGTATGAATGTGAAGGGACTGGCAGGCGGCCACACACACAGGCACATGGCTGCACACACACATTTATCTTCACACTTATCACACGCCTACACAGAGACCCTGTCCCAAGATTAAGGTGGATGCTTGCCATTATTTTTATTCTATCAATTTGTCTCAGATTAAAAGCAGCATTTTTTTTTTAAAGAATGGCTTTGAGTATGTAGAAAAGGTAAAGTTTTAGAAGTCAACAAAGTCATGAGAAAACATGGCTAAGTGATTACATCTTGTGTGCCATGAAAGACTCCCACTGATAAAGAAGCTAGCAGACTCAAATAAGAGCCTTTGATTAGGAACTTCGGTAGAAAACTGGGGCCCAATGCTGCACTTAGATGCTACGTGGGCAATGCACACAAAGAAGATTTTAAAATGGAAAACTGAAATTAAAACCTCAATCATGACAACTGAGATACTATGTTTTATTTTAAAGAGAATAGAAAAATAATAGATAAGACATTAGAAACCATACACAATTTCAAAAAGAAGAAAAAACCAAAATGACAGGTATTCAGCATTGGTTGTTATAGTGCAGATTGTCTTCCATGTAGTTGATCAGATTACCAGATATAAACATGTAAAACTGGACCATATAAAAATTTTAAGCATTAACTGCTACCTTCAAAAAACCAATAGAAATTAGTAGTACAATCATCTCAGCTGTCCTGTTTGTATACATTATGATTTTTTCCCTTCCTTTTTTTCCTTTCTTTTCTCCTTTCCCTCACCCCAACTGTTTATTCATTTTGCTCAGTTTCTTTTCCTTTTACCATATCTCTTGTTCCTTTCGGATTTTATGTACTCCTTCAGTTCTTACATTATGGAGACAACACAATGTTTTCACATGCAGGTCTGACTTATTTCACTTATGAGTATAGCATCTAGTTGCATCCATTTACCTATAACAGCCTCTACTTTATCTTTCTTTATCACTGAGTAGTACTCTATTGTATAAAAATACTACATCTTTTTATCCATTCTTCAGTTGATGGGCATTTGGTTTGTTTCCAAGATTAAGCTATGAAAAATTACGCTGCTATAAACATGGGTGCACACATAATGCTGTGGCATGAAGCTTTCAACTTTTCTGGAAAAATATTCAGAGGGTGAGATACTACGTGGTGGCTAAAGTTAATGGCCGTCTATGCTAACCACTCAACCTGCATCTTCAGATTAGGCCAAGACTGAACTATGAGGTTCACAGGCATTTGTAATCTTTGACTCTTACATCTTAAAGGTTAGGTATAAGAATTACTTTCTGGGATTATGCACTAGCAGGGAAAATTGTAAGATTACCCTTTATATCTCGTGTATATGCCTGTAAGGCATTTAAAACTGTATCAGTCAGTTTCAAAGCCATTATCAGAAGGGGAGTCTGGTTTTGTGTATTTTTCACATTAAAGAACAACATAATCTTCTTAATCACTTTGGAAAACAACTTGGCTGTCTCCACTAAAGCTAAGCATACACCATACCCTGAGACCTAAGAATTTCATTCCTAAGTATATTCAAGCAGAAATGTCAAAAGATATATACAAGAATGTTTATTCTAATACTAGACATAATAACCAAAATTTAGAAACTACCAAAAGTCTATAAATAGTGAAAAGGCTAAATAACTGTGGTTCCTTCACATGGGATAATAAATAGCAGGATAAATAAGTCATAATCATAAATAACAACATGGCTGTATTTGACAAAAGGAAAAATGAAACAAGACACAGGATCAGCTACAAACCATGCTTTCCTGAGAAACTTGGGGTACCCTTGGATATAGAGATTTAAGTAACCAAAAGAGTACAAAGTGGGGGGGACGGGAGATGGCTCGGTAGAGTAAGTGCTTCCCTGGCAAGCGCAAGGGCATGAGTTCAATCCCTGGTTCTGCCAAAAGAAACAAAAACAAAGAAAGAGCACAAAGTGGGTTCTGTTTCATGATTGTGGTACCGGTGACACAGGGGTTTAGTTTGTGAACATCTGAGTTGAATATTTACATGTACTTTTCCATAGTGTATTATATGCCACAAAAGTTTAAAACAATTTCATTAATAACAACTATAAAACTAAAATCCCTAAGCTCCAAGTTATTCCACAAATTAACGCTAAGTATAAACAAATAAGAAACTCGGGATTCTTGCCTGGCAGGTTTATTTACCTCTTAGGTAAGGCCGACTTGAATATAACAGTGCCTTGAGATCATAACTATCTATGGAGACAACACAGGTATAGCTTTCTCCTCGCTGACAGGTTATTTTGCCTTTTCATCTTAAGCTACAAGTAATTCTACAACTTTCTACCTTCATAGACAGAAGTTGTACACATCAATATGCAGCAGCTGTGTCTCAGGAACGTTGGGGTTCTTGCACAAAGCCTAAAGCACACACGACCTCTCTATCCTGGGTAATGTCATCTGAGTTCGTAGAATAAACTTCTTGACCCTGAGTGGATGTCAAAATACAACAAATGGGAGGATCGCAGCTCAATATATTTTTGTGAATTAAAATGGACACTTCCAAAACAAACTTAATGTTCTGCAGCTGGCTGTCCCAATTTAAAACATGTAACTTTTGTGACACTGTGGGAGAGGGAATGCTGGTAGTATCAGATGTCTGGAAGTAAATCTGAACCTAGTGACTTTTGGAAACACTGCTTTTGAGGTTGTTTCCCACCTACATACAACCATTTTTATAAACTGGTTAACCAGGAGTCCAGCTGCAGAAATGTTTGGACGTTTCCTTGTGGCAGGAATTCATCATAAATGTTATGCCCCCAAGACCCTTTTATAGAAGGAACAGTTGGTGACGTTAACTTCACAACAATTAAACATTTCTGATGGAATGAAAATTATAAAGCTACTATAAAAGAAAAAGATGTCTGCCCATCTCTTCTGATACTGTTAGGTTTGAGTGAGGCCACAGAAATGAGAAGAACAGAGAATGAGGAGAGTGTCAGAATTCTAACCCAAACAATGTGTCAGGTGAATTCACTACACCATATCAAAAGTAGGAAATAATTTAAAATCAACCTGTATCAGATAGAACTGGTTCAGTACTATGGAAGTAACTGGGATGTACCTAAAATGTAAAACATAAACTCTTTTATACTACCCTCTATGATACAGCATTTACACAGATGTTTTATTTTGATAAGTATCTTAATAATCAAAGACCAGATTTCCTTCCTGTACTTAGCACAACCTGTACTTCACAGTCATCATTTTTTTGAGACAACGTTTCATTATGTGATCTAGGCTAGTCTTAAACTCACAAACATCCTCCTGCCTCAGCCTTCTGAGTGCTGGGATTACTGGCAGCAGTCATCAAGGCTGAGCGAAAGAAGGAAACAGCCATTGAAAGAAACTTAAAAGCATCAAATAAATTACAGTACATAACAAAAGGTATGAGTTAATATGCCACATGTGAACTGTAGAAGTTAATAACTGTATTATCCAAAAAATATCCCTGAGAGAAATACTATGGTCAGCTGGCTTCCTCCTGTCATCCAGTATCTTTCCACTAATTTATGTGCACTCAAGGCCAGCCAAATAGCTCAGTGGGTTAAAGCACCTTCTTAGGCAGATGTAGTGGGGTTCAATTCCCAGCCTACTATGCCAGACCCACCCCCAGGGCATGCTGAGACAACCATTGAGACTGGGCATGGTGGCGGGAGCCTGTAATCCCAGCTATTGGGAGGCTGAACATAGGTGGATCACTAGGAGTCTGATCTACATAGTGAGACCCTGTAGACTCTGTCCTAAGTAAAAACAAAAACAAAACACGCACTCAGAGAATATAAGATCATTTTAATATTGGCCTAAGCTAAGTGCAAATGCAGAGATAAATGCTACACAAGATGAAAGTGGAGGAGGAGGAAGAGCTGGAGGGGACGGAAAAAGAGGAAGATTCATATGTTGCCCAAAGCTAAAGACTAATTTGGATTTCTTTTTTTTTGTAATGAATTTAGGACAGGGTCTATAGGGTGTACAGGGTCATACTAGGTAGATCAGACTTGCAGTGATTCTCCTGTTTTATACCTCCCAAGAGCTGGGATTACAGGCACATGCCACCATGCCCAGTCTCAACTTTTGGCTGGCTCTGCCTGCGTGCCTCAGGAGCAGGGCTGGTACAGCCTGGTGATCAAACCCCAGCCATGTGCTTTGCCAAAGCAGATGCTTTTATTTGCTGAGCTATCTGGCTCGCCCCAAATCTGGATTTTTTGTTTACTATAATTCTCTAACGTGACTGGCTAAAGATTGTTCACTTTTGTTTTGTTCTGTGTTTTGAGACAGTCTTACTATGTAGCCCAGGCTGGCCTCAAGTTAGCAACAATCTCCCTGCCTCAGCAAGTGCTGGGATCACAGGTGTGTAGCACTGTGCCTGGCTAGTCATTGTTTATGTCACTCAATTCTATTAACCAGACAAACCAGGCAGGAGAGGAAAAGTCCATTAGTCTAAAAGGAGGGAGAACATCAAAATGTACATTGCTAAACAATACAAACACACAACATACTAATAAAGTGAGAGAACTCTTCTCACCTCTGACATATCATGCACCAGCAAGAGAGGGATGCTGACTGTCGTGATGTCATGAGTGCAGCAGACTTTGAGTATGTTTCGGAGGCCCATAATGGCAGGGTCACGAGCAGTGATATTTCCTGATTTCACATTGTCATCCACACAGAGATGGAAAGCCACATGGATTTCTGAGAGATTGGAGTGCCGTGTTATGTAAAATTCTCCTGTGAAAAACAAATACCATCATGATTTTCAAATGTATGCACCATGTTCTAGAGTAGATTTAAAGATGATAGCAACAGGGAGTCAACATGTTGGACCAGCAAGGGTGCGTCAGGAACTTAGCTGGTGCTCAGAAGGGCCGCTTTCTACTCCTTAACTCTTGGGGAGAGGGTAATGAGGCAATAGCAATTTTTCAAGAGGTCATAAATTGGCATGAAGTGATGACCAGTAGAGAAATCAAGCCAGCACAAATGGTGAAAACATCATACCAAGTAAGAATACGTTACCTGATTTCTTGCTTTCCCCATATCCTAAATATGTTTCTCCTCATTTCAATTTATGGGACTATCTCTGTTCATCCGTTGCTCAGCTGAGGTCAGAAATACAGTGGGCCTTAGTTTTTTCCTTTCCTTGAATACCTATTCCATAGCCCACTATCAACTACTACTGTTCTATTTCTTTTTCTCTTTCTTTTTTTTTTTTTTTTTTTGCGGAACCAGGGATTGAACTCAGGCCCTTGCACTTGCCATACTGTTCTATTTCTAAAGACTATCTCCAATCTGAGCACCCCACACTTACTGCCATTACCCAACATCATGTTATATTGTCCTCACCCAGATTCTGCAACATTATCTCAAGTTATCTTTTGCTTCTAGTCTTGCCCAACTATATACAATTTCTTCATTGTGAGTAAGATAATTTAAATGCAATTTAGGTTTTATCTTTCTCTATTAAAAACCAGCAAACAGGCTCACACTAAATTTAGAAAAAAAAAAAAACTAATTGCTTTTGTATCTCCTAGGCCTACAAGATTGGGCTGGCACAACTGAGCCTCTCTCTCTCCCCTCTCTTCTGTTTTTTTTGGTGGAACCAGGGATTGAACTCAGGCCCTTGTGCTTGCCTGGCAAGTGCTTATTCTACTGAGCCATCTCCCTGGCCCTTCTACCCTCTCTTTTTTGCTCTAGCCACACAGGCTTTTCTTCAGCTCTTCAAACAAGCAGAACTCATTCCCAAATCAGGCCTGCTTCCTGGAAGGTTTTTCTCCGAGGTTCTCACATGACTGACCTCATCAATCATGTCTCCGATCAAAAGTCCCCTCCTCAGAATTCTTCCTGGCCATCTAGCTGATATAGGACCCCCTGATCCCCCCCACAACTTTACATCATTCTGCTTTGTTTTACTCTTAACACTGAAGTTATTTCGTTTACACAGTGTGACCAAAAAATATGGTGAATACTTTCGAAGAACATGTCTTACGATAAAAAGCACAGTGCCACGAATTCCCCTCAGAACACCCCCAGGCCCTGAAGACATGGACCCACTGCTCTCGCCGCTTTCTGAAGCAGTTTTAGCAGTGCTTTTCCAGAGTGCCTTGAGCTGTGCTGCAGCAGCTGCCTACATGTACTGCACTGATTCAAAACAACCTTTTGTGGTTATTTTGAGGTTGGACAACAGCCATAAGACGCACGGTACAAGACCCCGTGAATACACTGGATGAGGAACCGGTGTGATGCTTTTATGAGTGTGCCTTTCGCACCATGGCATTCTGCAAGGCCATTCACCATTTTTTTTATCATGCCCAACAAAGACATAAGAGACTTCTAAAATAGCTTCAGAAAGTGACAAGAATAGTGGAGCAACTATGTTCAAAGTGAGAGAAAGCATTTAGAGGGGATTAATAGTAATGTATCTCATTGTAATATATTTAAAAAATTTAAACCTCACTATATACTTTGATCAGACCATTCTCCACAGATAACCCTAAAGAGATTGCATAGACACAATCCGTGACTTTGGGAATTTTGTCTATCTTATTTAATGTTCCATTTTCAGCAAAAGAAAGCATTCAAATATTTGGTGAATGAATGAATGTTTTAGACTAAATGCTGGAAAACTTTCTCAAACTGTAAAATCCATGCTTCTTACAACCACTCTTTTATTTGTCACTACAACATAAAGTTTTTCTTTTCTATAATTTCTGTCAATATAAATAAAGTATATAAGGATTATGTTTTTAGCTATAAGTACTTATATCATAGAAAAAGTTCAAATAAATAACCTACGCATACAATTCAAGAAAACAGACCAATAGAATAGTCTTCTTTGAAAGATAAGAGAAACTGAACCTAAACCTAGTACAAAGAGAAGGGTGGAATCATGATCAGGGTGGAAATTAATGAAACTAAATGAATTGAAGAGCAAGTTCTTTGAAAAATAAGCAAGACAAACAAATACTTAGTCAAAGTTACGAGGAAGGCCAGACCAACGTCAACAAAGAAATGAGAAAGGTGAAATCACAATGGAAATCATTAGCAGCAACTGTGAACAACTGTACTCCAACAAACTGGACAATCTTAAAGAAATGCACAGCTTCATAGACAAATGAATTACCAAAACTGAACCGAGAAGACATAAAATAATCTGAACTATCCAATAACAGACAATGAAATTAAAGTAGTGGCCGGGGAGATAGCTCAATAGAATAAGCTCTTGCCTGGCAAGCACAATGGTCTGAGTTCAATCTCCGGTTCCACAAAAAAAATTAAAAAATTAAAAAAATAAATTATTTAAAATATCAGGTTATTGGAAGCATCCTAGTATGTTTTAGAGCAATTGCTAAATAGATTAATTAAATAAATTAACACAATAAGCAAAAAAAAAAATAAAGTAGTAATAAAAAAACATGCCAATCTACAGAATGGGGAAAACATTTTTTCCAGCTACTCCTCAGGAAAAGGACTACTATCTAGAAAATGTCAAGAACTCAAAAAACCAGACCCCTTGCCTCCAAGATAAAAGACCCACTGAGAAAATGTTCAATGTCTCTTGCCACTAGAGAGATGCAAATGAAAACAACACTGAGATTCTATCTTACCACAGAAAGAATGACTTTCATTAAGAAATCCAATAATAACAAATGCTAGCAAGGCTGTGGGGAGAAGGAAACCCTTCTACATTGTTGGGAATATAAATTGGTACAACCACTATGAAAATCAAGAAAAAGATTCCTCAAGAAACAATTGAAATCATTTGATCCAACTACTATGCTACTAGCATCTTCCTAAAATAGGTATGGTCAGCACATTATAGTGATACAAGAATATTCCATGTCTATAGCAGCACGGACTCAAATAGTTTAACCTTGGAAGCAGCCAATTGCCCAGCAATGGAGGGATGGGTAAAGAAAGAAAACGTGGTACTTTTACACAATGGAGTACTACTCTGCAACAAAGCAGGAAAATTTGAGTCATCTGTAGGAAAGCGGGTACACTGCGATAATGTTAAACTAAACAATGGGGGCCAGGGAGATGGCTTGGTAGAATAAGCGCTTCCCTGGCAAGTGTAAGGGTCTGAGTTCAATCCCCAGTTCCACACACATAAAAAAATTAAACAATGTCAAACTTGCAAGCTTAAATACCATATTGCTTCTGTTAATGAGAAACCCAAAGTATAAAAAATGAAAGAGCCAAATAAAAGATAGACAATAGGAAACAGGGAGACAGGTCTTCTCAAACAAGAAGGGATCTCAGGGAGGCAGAGGAGGGAGGGAAAGGGACATAAAAAAGAACTGATGTGTCATATACATGCATTGGCTACCCACAATGAGTGATATTATGTACCACAAACATGTACTAAAAAACCATGTTTTTACAAATGCATATGGCTCACTCAAAGTTCTGGTATGTCCCTTAGGAAAGGTTTGCTACAGGAATCCTGTCCTCACATGTTCTGTGCATGCTTGTTTCACAGGCATTATCTGAAGGTTTTACTCTAAAGTGCATGGTGTACTTACATTCAAAAGTACTTACTATATGTTGGGCTGTGCTCAACATTTCTAGTTATATATATCTGTAGCTGTACTCACAGATGCCTTTGAAAGAGGCATCTTATTCTTTTCAAATTTGAATAAGATAAAGAAATTAGATAAACAGAAAAAGAGACTGAAGACTGAATGATGATAGAGATCCTGAAAAATAAAATTACAGAAAAAACCTGGATGTGAAAAAGAATATGAAAGGGCAAGTGTGTGGTAAGGAACAGCATACCTGTACTTCTCAAGAAGGCAACAAAAGACACAGACTGGCTGTCAGGAGATGGGACAGTACCTGCAGGCCCAGCAAGAGCCGCACCTCCCGGCAGTGCTGGAAGCGGCAGCGTGATGGCCCAGGGCCAGCAGTGAGGCAGGATGGCTTGGAGAGCGAGTCAGGCGCTCCTAATCCTCAACCTGGCACTGCTTTCTTCGACCTCAAATGACTTGTCTCTTGGTCTCCTTTCACCCATTAATAAAATGGATGCCAGTGCTGGAGCTGGCGGTAACACTCTGACTAGTAGGAGACAGTAGAAAAATGACTAGATGGGATGTTAAGGAGTCCTGGGCTACAGCAGCTATGGGCTAGTGATCCCGGGAAAATCAGTTCAACTTATGCAGCTTTGTACACGACTAGGGAAAAGGAAGGCCTGACCACTTCTCTTACAAGGCTGTTGTCAGAGTTAGATGAGAGAAAGCATAAATAATTGTCAGAGTTAGTTGAGAGAAAATATAAATAGAACATGAAAAATAAACTACTATTGGCTTAAAAGTATACAAATAAAATTATTTTTCTTTACAATTAAAAAATTGTGATTTTTACCTTTTAAAAATCTACAAATATGTTCATTATGTAACCATTCTTTAACTAAATGCAACTTCAGATACTAGTAGGATATTTACCTGAATAATTTAATATTGCTTTTCTAACTCAGACTTGTGATAGTCTCTTGATTTAGCAGTACAAATGATACTAAACTATATACTTTTTTGAAAAAAAAAAAGAACAAGGGAGGAAATACAGTACTAAAGAATTAAGTTTAAAAAAACTACACGTTGGTACATCCAGAGTAGTAATAAAATTGGCACATTTATAAGAAAGCCACAAAATATGGATGGTTTAAATTATGGATGTACCAAGAAGAACATGATAAATCCTTCATGGACAGTATTTTTAGGCGGCGCGGAGAACAGCTTCCTGTTCCACAAAGTGGCGGACACAGCATGTGGTGATTCTAACACTGCCCCAGGGTAGGCCGCCTGACCGTGGGAGAGCGGCTGGAGGTTGAAGACCACAGCTGCCTGGGCCCAGCCAGACGAATGCCACGAATAGGGAGGGTATCGTAATGTGACTTAAATATCAGATATCTGAGGAAGGAAATGTGAGGACGCTACCTTACAGGAGCACAGGGAGCTCTCAAGAGATGGTTATTTATGACACTAAAGTTGACCACGTAGTTTAAAATACAACTCTCATCAATTACACAAAGGGCCTTGCCAGTTATGCCCTGCCACACAGCTCTACCAGGGGTCATCAGAATGAATCCGATCAAAAGGTTGAATTCCAGTTCTTAAACAACATATCCTACAATGACAATGAAAATGAAATAAATGAAAAGCAGGAAAATGTAAGGGGAAGTGTGAATGATTCTAAACCAGATGACCCATGTTCTTTCTATAGGCTCAGCTATTCACATCTCTATGTGCTAGTGCTTACATTTCACAGTAAAAGTGACCCCTCGATTTATTTCTTATGCAACTAAGAAACAACATCCATGAGGAAATTGCAACTGGCAAAAAATGTAAATAACCATAAAACTCACAACTTCTTGAGCATAAAGCTTAACCATAAAACTTGGTAACTTCTTGAGCAATTTTGCATGTATGAGTTGAGAAGACATGTAAGGATTCACACATGAAAAACTGCTCAAAAAGTTATTTTTTTTTTAAAAAAAGAAATTATTATAGGACATGTTGTTTAAGAATGGTATAATGGTAGAGACTATAGCTCAGTGATCTAAGCGCCTGCCTGGCAAGCGCAAGGACCCACGTTCGATACCCAGTACTACATGCCATGCTGGTTCTGGGTGTACTGTGCTGGCCCCAAAACTGGGCTTGGTGGTGCATGCCTATAATCCCAGAACTAAGGGAAGCTGAGACAGGAGGATCACTATGAGTCTGAACTGTGTAGCAAGACTATCACACAATAAAAAATAAATTAATAAAATAAAAAAGAACCCTATAAAAATACTGATATTAGAGAAAAACCTGTGGAAGTATATCCTATATACAAAATGTTTAAAAATGATATACTGGCAATATTTCATGATGTACATCATAAGAATTTAGGTTTCAAATCTATGTTTTAATGTATAAGACAACAGTAATATAAAACAAAATTGTACGTACCAGGTAAAATGTTTAAATAGTTTCTCTCCGCAATCTTCTCATCACTTGCTCCATTTTGGTTACCAGAATCTATTCATAAGATAATGCACAAAGAAAGAAAATGATAGTGTGAAACACAGCACCACCACAACTTTCAAAACAAGCAAAACATTACCAAGGGCCTCTATATGCCAGGCACCCAGCTACATTGTACATGTGGTCTCATTTAATTCTCACAAAACTCTTATAACCAAGACCTTATGAGGGAAGTACTATTATTACCTTAGGTGTTTGTTTCTTGGTGTTGAGTAGTAAACTTAAGGTCTTGTGAATGCTAAGCATGTTCTCTACTACTGAGCTACACACGCCGCCCAATCTTCACCTTATATACAAGGAAAGAGGCTTAGATAAGTTAAGTAACTTAACCAAGGATATACAGGTAAGAGATGAAACCAGGTCTTGAACCACATACTCAGATTCTTAATCCCATGGTATTAACCACACTATACTTTCCAATACGCTAGTTTTCAGTGGGGAGGTTCAGGGCACTAAGTTAATTACACATAAAATAACTTCACTAGATAGCTGTGGTGTGGCCACCTTTATTTTTAGCATCTGAGTCAATGCTGTTGATATAACTTGTTCAGGACTACAAATAAATGGCTAGCAGCACCAGGAATCAGTTTATACTCAGCTTGTTCCTGAAATTTATTTTTTACCTGACTCTGTGTATATTTAATTTCAAAAAGATACGTTGACTGTTTCAGACAGAATTTTTTCAGATATTCAATAGTTTTTCTTTTTCCATGGCATAAATTTTGGAAAGGTAACTGTTGATAACTTAAGAAATAATAGTATTAAATATATATTACAAAGGCCAAACAAATGTATATGTGTTACCGAAATTACCTCTGAATTTTGCAAGTCACAAATGCAAAATGCACATTAGGTTCTCAGAGTAGCTATCTTTAAAAAAGCTATTTTCTTATTCCAATTCAAGTAAAAATGTTAGAATCTACTTTGCAATTACCTTTTGAATTAGAAAACTCCAAATGAGTAAAGTATAAATAATAAAAATGATCTATAATTATCTAAATAAAAATAAGTTCTTATCTGACTACTTTGATGAATTTATTTCTATCATAGTATCTTTTTTTCTATCATAGTATCTTATAAACACATATTCTATAATTGAAAAGACAGATAAACATGGAGAAGCCTCAGTTGCTGAAACCTTTATCTAATATTTATGTCTAATATAGGGCTGGGTAATAGATAAGCCTTGAATACACCTCTGATCATAGCACAGATTACAAAACAACTAATGAAGATCCCAGTTTTGTTTATATGGAGTATAAACAAACAGAATTTTATTAAGGAAGCAAGAGTTACTATTCATAATCTATTCCCTTTTCCATATTTTAATGGGTAGTACTGTGTTTAATAATACTAAGAAGATGGTTATTTTTTTTTAATGTACACAAAAGCAGGATTTGAACTTTTATCATGGACTGTAGAAGTACACTGGAACTACCACAGAAGGAAAACAATAGGAGATTTTAGGATAAACAGGTGCTGGGTAACAGGATGTGAATGTGCAGAACCAACAGTAGGCATGCACTGAAATGGAAGAGTTGGGAAGAGGTTTTCCTAAAGCTCTTCTATAACACGCAGGTTCATTTGGGAAAGTTTTCTTTTATGAACTAACTTGCTGTACTGACTCACATAAAACCACAAAGTAGTTGCCTGAACAAGAACAAAATACCATGATCCACATGCAGTGCCTTAACTGTATGTGGCTTACAAACTTCCTGTCATTTTTAGCATACTTCCTATCTCACATGGGTACACTTGAGTTTTCCATTTTCTCCCACATCTATCATGGCCCCAATCTTTGTACTTTTAGTCACCAGTACTAATAATACTAATATTAAAATGTTTATGAACACAGCACTGCTAGTTTGAACGAGATGGAGGAAGAAGCCATCAGAAGAGCAAGAAGGTACACTGAAATTTTCTCAGAGGGCCTCAAGACACTGCTGCACTGACCCGAGGACTCGGCGTGGCTCAGTACGCAGTGCATACTGCCGCAAGCCCCAACTACCTTTAGAGGAGATATAACCTGGTAGAGCTGCTACAGACGGTAACTGCTAACACTATCAAAATCACGAATGTGGGCGCCTTTAACCTGGGGGCTCTCGATGAATCCACTGTGCATGTACTCTCCCTGCCCACACGCACGCACCACTTGGATGTGGGGTTACTGCTCTGTACGACCTCACATGTGAAACCCAAACCAGCCGCACTCACAGAGACAGGAGAATGATGGCTCATGTGGGCTGTCAGAAGCAGGAGATGAGGTGTTGGTCAGGAGTACAAAGTTTCAGTTATGCCAGTGGGACAATTTCTGGATATCTAATGCACAGTAGTACACTTTGATATATACTGAATTTGTGAGAGGGTAAGTGTCCTCACCACAAAAAATAAAGTGGTAACTAGCTAAGTGACAAATATGATTAACTTGAGGGGATTCTTCTACAATGTACACTGAATCACGAAATTGTACACATTGTCAAAGTAGATGGAAAGGCTATTACATTGCAAATTAATTTAGAAAAAGCAGATGATTAAGGACCTAGTAACTTTTTAAAATAACGACCCAAAACAAGTAATTAACTTTATGCTATTTAAGTCAAAGACAAAATATTAAAAAGTATATATTTTGTGCTTCCTTTTACTTTGTGATTTCAAAACCTTCTGTAGTAATAATTATGTCATTTTGGAGATATACTACTGAAATTTATTATTTTTACTTTAAGGTGCTGAGGATGGAACCCAGAACCTGGCATCACACTGCCACTAAGTTATCACCCAGCCTATCTTTTCCCAGGGCTGGGGATGTGACTGGAGGTAGAGTGCTTGCCTAGTACCCATGAGTCCCTGGGGTGGATCCCCTGCAACAATAAAAATGAAAAAAATTGAAAAATTGGTTCTCTCTAATGATGTTGGAAAAAATTATCCAGAAAAGGACACTAAGAGCAGAATTCCACACTCTGGAGATCTTAAATTCAGCTCTTCATTTCTTTCTTCCAGTCTGCACCCACGTCATCTGTGTGACTGCGGTGACCGCCCACACACCAGCACACCTTGAGGGCACACACTGACCTTGCGCTTCTTTCAGCTTGCTGCCCCGCTGGGTTCTAGCGTACAGCGCCACCTGCTGAACGACTTCCAGTTGCTCTTCAATTCGGGGGAAATGGAAGTCAGTACACTCCTGGCAAACTGTGGCAAAATCTAAGGGACCCAAAATATGAACAAACTTCTAAATGTGAGCCATCAATTGTTTAGCATCTATTTACACACAACAGGATGAAGGAGAAACAGAAATGAAAACTTACAAGTATGGTTTCTTATGATTTTCAATAGTCACATGTTAAGCTAGGGCATAGTAAATTTGTATTGGTTAGAAATTTTTAGTTTTCAATCACTCAAAAAAGTACACAACAATATTTTAATGTAATTCCAAGTTCTTTTCTAAATCACAGATGATATGATCATAATCTACTCCCCCAACTGGTAATAAATACAAGTTTCTTACAGTCAGGAAGGAAAATTAATCCACTCAAGCTTCTTTTAAAAGGAGCTACATATTTCAATACTTCTTCATGTATTATAAAATTTAGAAATAAGCATAAAAATTAGTCATATTAATAGGCTAAATATACAGCTGCATTCTCATAATTCAATGAATACAGAGATTTGTTCTAATAGTGTCTGTACACAGGATATCATGTCTGCATATCGTACAATGAATAACCACTAAGACAACAATATGCAATGTATTGATTACTGAAACTGTGCTAGTGATCAGTTTTGAAACTGTCTCATTGCATTTGTTTCTCAATAAAATTATTTTGAAAAATTAGTCATACTAAGAGGGGAAAATAACTTTTTAGTACATTTAAGAGACAAATCAGGGGGCCAGGGAGATAGTAGAGTAAGTGCTTGCCTGGCAAGCACTAGGTCCTGAGTTAAATCCCTGGTACCGTCAAAAAAAAAAAGATAAAAGGAAAGAAACAGACAAACTCAAATTCACTGAGCCAAGATCTGGTTCTAAACTGAAAAACATATTCATATCTTCACTATTTAGTCTTACCCTGAAATAAGAATCCTATTGGAATACTATATACTATTATACAATGTTTTAAGAAAAATTAAATCTCATGAAGTAATCTATCAATGTTAACATATGTAAAAATAAAAAATACCTATGTCTGGTATGTTTATTGTTAGTTGTATCTGAAATCCGATTAAAAATAAGTACTTTTTTCCCCCTGTATTTTAGGTAAGGGTCCACAGGGTGTTCAGGGTCTCACTATTAGATCTAACTCTGGGGAAAGGGCATGGCAGGCCCGGAGATTGAACCCCAGGCCCCTGTACCTGCTTACAGGTGCTTCTGCTGAGCTACTTGGCCGGCTTCTCCATTAATTTCTTTCTTTTTTTTTTCTTATGTATTTAGTAGAGGGTCTACAGGGTCTCACTATACAGACTGGACTCACAGTGATCTTCCTGTTTTCAGCCTCCCAATTGCTGGGATTACAGGCATGCACCACCATGCCCATTCTTAGTCAACTTTTAGCATGTCCTGGGGATGGGCCTGGTAGGGTACAAACCCCCGTCCCTGCATCTGCCTAAGCAGGTGCTTTAATCTCCTGAGCTATCTGGCCAGCCCCATAATTTCTTTCTTTATATGAATGGTAACTACAAGGAAATTTAATAAAATAAATATGTATGATGTCGACCCACCTCTCTTAATGCCACTATATGAATTAATTCGATTGTCCACTAGTAAAACCAGGCCACACAGCGATGTGGAATAAAGGGACAGTGCTGTCTGGAGCCGATGGAGCTTCACACCACTGCGATGATTTCTTTTGTGCTTACAGAAGTCCAGCATATCTGCTCTCAGCAATCTCAAATTATGCATGGTCTTCAGCTGGGCTCCTGGTGAGAGAACCAACAGGTCCAGAAAGGAAAAAATGCAGAATGAGCCAGATTCACAGCTCTATGGCAATCACCCAGATTAATCTGTGCTACAAATCATAATTCAAAAGACTTTATGGTCTCCCATTTTAAGAACTACTATAATTTAATCTATTTTAAAAATACTATAAACTAACATAGTAAACTTATATCCAATCAATCATAAGGGCAATATTTGCAATGAAAATAACTTGTTTACGTGCTATGTGCATTTTAGGGATTTTATCTGTAATCTTAGAGGATCAGTATCAGAAGTTAGAACAAATTATAACTGTAAAACTTGGTATACTTACCTAAGTGAATAGTGAAACTTTCTTCTAGCTTTCTCTGTTCCTCATAAATCCTTCCAACTGCTTCTACAGATTCTCTGAACAGACTTGGCTGAACTTTAATTTCCTCACTGAAATTAATAAAATTGAAACACTTTTTCTCTGTATACTTTTCAAAAACTTTTCTTAAAGGAAAGCAAACTTCGTAACAGAGAAAACAGAACAGCTGAAAGTAGTGCACAACCTATTGTTGTGCATCTAATCCATGATGACAAGACCAGCAGCACTAACAGGTTCTAAAAGCCCCACTTGGTTTTTCAGTTACTCACAACAAGTAATGCAGATTACTCTTTCAATCATTATAATGTCAATTAACATATTACTATTTAAAATTTCATAGTGGTCTGAAAATGAGAAAATGAATTAATTTGCTACTTAAAATCGCACTATGTGTAAAAACATATGGTACATCCTATATTAGGGATAGCTCTAAGAAAAATTAGAAACAGATGAAATGATAGCAATAAAAATTAACAAGCCTAATAAAATAACAAAAAGGTGAAGTTTGTTTAATGTATATATCCTGTCTTTTTTATCATTTCCTAGTTTTAAACCTCCAACATTCTCTTCCTACTAAGCTATTTCTCTTTATTCTACTCTTTATATTTCCTAAAAAGGTTTCCAAAGTGGAGCTGTCATTGTATAACTATTCAATTCAAATTTCAGAGTATGCTAAAGATGGTAAAAGTCTGTGAGAATCATCCTCTCTACTGACTAAATTTTGGGAGTTAATCCAAAATGACTCATTTTTCTCACTGATTTTGCTAGTGAATATGGGAAATTTAAACTGAAATTAAATATATATTATATCCCCACCTTACAATATAAAAAACTACCAGAGAATGTTATTTCCTCTTTAACAATGGGAGAAAGTCAGAAAATTTACACAGTCATACTTTTCTGGAGATCTAAAGAAAAGATGTGAAGAAAAAGCAATGTGGGAAACAGAATTGAGCATGGTGCTCCTGGGACAGACAGGACATATGAACAGTTTCATTTCTGTTACAATATGGTTGAAATAGGTGTTGTTATGCAAAGGAGGAAAAAGAACTCTGCTAAAGTTATAATAGATTTCTGAAGGCCAAGTGTGGGCTGGCACGATAACTTAGAAAGCGCAGGTGCCTGCACGTGCAAAGTCTACCCATTAGCTTCCACCATGTAGTCCCAAGAGAAAACCAGGACAGGAGACCCAGGCAGAGACGCCATGAACGGCCCTACAACCCCGACATATGTAATCTGCCCAAGACATAAGGCAGACAAAGATGACAGAACTGGACAACAGGTGGACAAAGGAACCGTCTCCTGTCCCCAGTGACACAGCAATAATCTCATGCCAGGAGAGACAACAACAGCATGGAGAGGAGATCCACTCTGTGGGACAGACACAGAGACTGCTGAAATTTGTCTAAATAAAATCCCTCTAGAATCTCAATGGCCAACCCAGCCATAAAGTAGCACTACACTACTGTCACAGAAATGAAACCTGCTGGTTACTGAAGGTTCTAACTGGTACAGAAACCAAATTCTACTCAACTACTGATAGGATCTGGACCACCTTCATATTTATTGCCTGTTAATTTCTGCATATAATTATTATTTACTTTAGTCTCTTCTAATATTTAAAATATTTAGCTCTCAGACAAAAACAAGAGGAAGAAAAAGATGAGGGGAGAGACACCCAGAAAAGCAAAAAGAAAAAAAATTAAGAGATAAAATAATTAACAGAAACAAATTTAGAGATGACTCAAATACTGAATCTAAAAGCAAGAGACTTTTGAATAACTACAACTAACATGTTAAAACACCTAATGGAGATGGCAGGCAAGATGGAAGGACACACAAGAAATTTCAACAAATAGAAAAAAAAAAATGGAAATACTAGACAACCCCCCCCCCCATGGTTTCAGGTTGATGATCACTGATCACCATTACCCTGATACCAAAACCAAGTGAGTTTTTAACGAAAACTAGTGTCATGGGTTGTGTCTAGGTGTCCCCCCAAAGCCTCCTGCAGTCATTGGGGTGGGCTTCTAGAGTTTGTGATTAATTCATGACCCAGTGCTGGGACTACGGATGTGAGAGCTACATCTGCCCGGGGTGGAGAGCCTGAAGGCAGTGTAAGGGAGGGAGAGGGGCTTGCTCAGCACTGCTCCTCAGCTACTGCTCCTCCTTTCTTGCTGTTTTGCTGTTTTCCACTGCCATGAACTGCTGCCTTCTGCCATGTGCCACCCTGTCTTGGAGCCAGCCAAGTATAGACTGAAGCCTCCACAAACAAAGACTCTCACGCTCTCGTGGTGGGAATGCAAGTTGCACAGCACTCTGGAAAACTGTGGCAACGTTTTACGCAATTAAGCATATACTACCATATACTACCTGGTGCTAACATAAGAGAAATAAAACATACGTCTCTACAAAGAACTATATATGAACGTTTAAAACAGCTTTATTTACAATTGCTCAATCCTGAAACACCTGAAAAGCTCATTACCAAGTAAACAGATAAAATAATGAGTAACAGAATAAAAAGAAAAGCAAAACACTGTATTGATACTTGGAACAGTATGAATGGGACCCAAAAGTACTATGCCAAATAAAAGATGCAAGCTATTAACTGCAACATTTAGTTTGATTCTATTTATCTGTCTGGAAATATCAAAGATATAAGGACAGAACTCAGGTGGGTTGACAGGGACTAGGAGGACAGGGATGGTTCAGAAGGTGTAAAAGCAAAATGCTCAGTCTTGATTGTGGTGATGATTTTATTACTAATTTCATCACAGTTCACCAAACTGACCACCTAAAACAGACGAGGTTTACTTTATGTACCTTATCCCTCCACACACCTCACTTAGCCTATGACGAGTTTTGTAGGAAACAGGATTCCACTCATCAAGTAAACACCTATCCAAAGGGAAGGCAAACTAGCAAAGTCACAGTAAAAATATTTTTCATAGGAGTACTGAGGTTTTTAAAAGCAGGCCAGTATTTACACAACGGGATTGAGTCTATGGCTGGCTTTCTGAAACAAAAGCAACTGAGGGTAACTTTTGCAGTAATGGGGCTTTCATGGCTTTCAACTTTTTGTGGCCAGCTCAACAAGCCCTGGGGGCGGGGCTGACAGCAGTCCCTGCGCCTTGCCTAAACTTGCCTAAGCAGGCTCTTTAGACTGCTAAGCTATCTCGCCAGCCCCACATTTTATTTATTTGTTCAACATTTTTGTCTACAACATATTGTCTATATTTTGTATTTTGACTCAACACATATTACTTTTATACATGCATAATATACTGTTACTTTTTTCTCTATGTGAGTCTACTATTATATTCTGCTATTTGTTATTTTAAAAAAGCGAGTAAAAGATCTAAAATAGTTTAATAGGAGACTGCAACCAAGGGTTTTAGGAAAATATTAGTCAAGTAAAAGATTACAGTAAGTCCATAAAAGGTGATTAAAGTATCGGATAAAGGACTTAATGAAAACCTGCCCCTTCATCCCACAAACATTTACTTAGCATATCCTCATGTGTCAGTGCCAAGAGCTGTGGCCTTGGCAGGGAGCAGGGCATACAATGGCTGAGAAAACGAAGTATAATTATTTCTTTCCAGGCAAAACTAGCAGGAGAGACTAACATTATATTAATATGATGCATTTAAAAATGTTTATGGTACATATACGCATATTGTGAAAAGTTATTATGGTATACATGGTGCATTTTAAGTTGAATATACTTTAGGATTTGAAAGTACGAACTCTCAAGCAAACGATGATACAGCCAGAAAATAGTACAGCCCTGTGGAGCTCTAAGGAGACGTGTACAACACAGTACAGGAATGTACCACACACAATAGGGATTATGGAAATCCTCCATACTATTTCTAGCCAGGCTTCTATTACTACACATCTCAATTTGTACATTACTATTTCATTTACAGATCAGACTTTTTTAATATTATCTCCACAGTTTTTGATTTTCTGCTTAAGGGAGTAGAGTGTTTTGCATTCAGCCAATTGTAGTAAGCAGAAACTGAAGAAAACAAAAGTTATGTGGTTTTTAGAAGTATGCGCCTTAAAAGATTTCTACAGCTAAAGTTTTTTTGGGGGGCAGGAATCAGTATTTTAAACAAAACACTCACTATTCCTCACCCCTAAAACAATACACATACAGTCTATAATTCAGAAGGTGTTAAAAGGGACATAAAATTACCTTGACTGTTCACTTACACTCTAAAAATATATACAAGCCTCACCTTTCCAATAAATATAAACTATTACTGATAGTGGAATTTTAAATAAGAAGAATAATGTTCACTACCTCAGGGAGCTGTTGTTGGGGTTTTTTAAGTCTTGATGAAGTTTTATCACCCATTCCTGATATTCTTGTTTTTGGATGGCTGTTGATTGTTTTAATTCATTTGACCATTTATTCTCTAAGTCCTGAAAGATACAGTAGGCCAACCGCTTAGTATTTCTTTCAAAAATTAGTAAGTAAAAGAACATGAGGCTGTGTATGTAAAAATTAGCATATCTTACTTACTTGCTGTGATTCAAAATGTTGAGCAGCCAGTGAGTTTACATCTTGGTCCGTGAGTGACTTTCCCAATTCCTGCATCACCTTTTCCATTTCAACACCTTGTCTAAAACATACATTCATCAGACTTACTCACCAGACTTGTGAAATACTGAGCAACAGATTAACTGAACAAAGTGAAAGTAAAACGTCTACTCTACAGCCATATATCCAGGACTGCTGACTACAGACAGTACTGGTGAGGGTTTGAGTCTTTGGAAACAGGAATGTGAGAATCATGGTAATGTCATCTAATATCAACATCGTTCATGTAGCTGCAGTGTAATATAAATTTAATGCTTAAACCCAAGTAATCTTACATTATCACAGCTAATATTTAATAGTCCAGATACAGTCTCAGCTGCAAATTTTCTAAAAAGTATTCTGCAAGTTCACCTTACCAAGATATTCTATTTGTCTAAATTTGTCATATGAGGATTTTCTGCCATGTTCCGGGAGCCCCCAGACCCAGTCCTAGCCCAGGTCCGGTGAGTGTGCGGAGAGTTTCTGGCTACCCTGCGCCGGC